AATACTTATCCTGGTTAGCTCTTTATTCGACATATGTACTTTAAACTTGTCATCATGGTAATCTTATTCCTTTGATACTTTCCTGCAGCTTTTGTTCCCTACAGCTGACTCTGCGCGACCATTTTCCATGCTTGGACTCGGTGACATTGTCATTCCTGGTATGTTTGAAATCCATTTTAGTTGGTAGGTCTAATGCATGCTTCTGCTATGATATGAGTTGTTATTTTGGGTTTTGGGTTTAGGGTTTTAATCACATTAATGATTGTTTCGTTTTCTCTTGTTTCAACATTCAAAATCATGAAATACTTCTTTTAGTTTGAATAGGAGGTATCGTTAAAAAAAACCTTCATAATTATAAAAAAAATGGATAAAACGGGATGAGGAGAAGAGTACCTCAAAGATCTATTAATGAAAGGGATTTAAATACCCCATATTACAATCATAACCCAAATAAACAAACAACACCCATACCAAAACATATATTACCCAATCCCCTTTTTAGCTAGTTCATCTGCTTCCCAGTTTGCACTTCTATTAATAGTCCTTAACAAAATTCCATTGATGTTAACAATCTCCTTGACTAAGGGTTCATATACCGAAGGGCACACCGACATATCCTTAATCCAATCCACAATATTCCTACAATCACATTCCAATATCAGCCGACCCTTTTCCCACCATTGGAAGTTAAACAGAGAAGAATCCCAACTCTGACAGCCATTAGTTCAGCTAAAATCGGAGGACCAGGACCAGTAGGTTCCGAAAATGAACCAAAAATATGTCCACTACAGTCTCTGACTAAACCTCCAATATCACCCTTATTCCAATCACAATTTACAGCCCCATCTACATTTATCTTTATGAAACCTAAAGGAGGGGTAGACCAAGCTGCAAGAGAAGACGAACCTGACTTCTGAGGAGACCAAGAATCTGCAAGAGAAGGATCACCTATCAAAATGTCAAGAGGAATCTTGAACTCTGAATCCTTAGCTAAGAACCATGAGGCCAAGCGAAATCTCACTATAAAAAGAATTGATTGGATGTCAACAGAATCATTATCAAACACAATAGAATTCCTTAACATCCAAATAGACCATACTATCGCACCCGGAATGGAAGGCCAAATATGGGATTCAGTACCTCACCTACAAGATTGAACAATGAAGGTTAGACTGAGCAGCCTTGATGAAGACATCGAACCATTGGGAACTCATCTGTAGGAGATCCATTAACCATAACTGAAATGGATGCTGAGGAGATGCACTTATCAATCTACGAAATCCAACGGTCTCCAAATCCCATTTCCTTCATGGTCCGAATCAGCATAGGTCATTCAATAGAATTGTAAGCCATCTTGAAGTCCACTTTTAATACTAAACCTTGTAACCCTTTCTTCCTCCAATACTCAATTCCTTCGTTCGCAATGAAAGCACAATCGAGAATTTGTCTACTCCGAATAAAGCCAAACTGCTTTGGGCTAATGACAGAATTGATACAAGATCTCAACCTCCTGGACAAGACCTTAGATAGAATTTTGTATAGCCCCCTGCCAAGCTGATTGGTCCTTAGTCCTCCACCCGTTCCGGATTTGATTTCTTTGAAATAAGGGTAACAAAGGCATGATTAACTCCATTCTCCCATCTCTTGCCCAGTAAGAAATCATTAAAAAATTTCAGTATGAGATCTTTCATATATTCGGTTAGAACTTCATGAAAAAATCTATATTCAACCCATCCGGCCCTGGAGGTTTATTACTATCGGATGACGCAATAGCTTCCCAAATCTTCTCTTCCGAAAATTGCCTCTCTAGGAAAGCAGCCTCATCGATAGACAACTTCGAAAATTGCAGATTCAAATCTTCAACTTCCAAAGTGGAGCAACCATTATAGGCCTTCTTGTAGAATTCAAATATATACTGCTACTAATCTGCCCAGGATCAATAATATTCCTCCCATCCACACACAGAGATTTAATTGAATTAATCCTTCTCCTATTCGAGGCACAAATATGAAAATATCTCGAAATTCGATCGTCATCTCTCACCCATTTTGCTCTTGAATTTTGGTGTCAAATGCTTTCTTCAATTCGATACAACTCCCAAAGTTCCTTCCTATAAGAGATCAAAGATTCTCACAGACTCGAAGATGATACTCCAGCCCGAGCAGAGGATTCCAAAGCTTGAATCTTCAATTCCAGCTCTCTAATAGAATCAGCAATCCTGGTGAATTTGCTGCCCGGCCATTTCTTTATTGCTAATTTTACCTCTCAGAACACTTAGTATACCCCTTCTTTTGTACTTTGAGATCAGCTCCTTTATATTTGAATCAGCCATGTTAACAAACTCATCATCTTCCAAAAGATAGTTGAATAAACGATAAGGTTTTTTTTGGCCCCGTCGGGGAAATATTTACGTGTGTCAGTCTTAATATACGACTAAAAAAAGACTGTTATTAATTTTTTATTATTTAAATAATAAAATTGATAAAAAAATATCAGAAATATTATTATTTCTATCGATTTTGTTATTATTAAGTGCTTTACCGAATTTAGTAAAGCGCTACCGGTTTTATTATTTTTTCTAACGTTTTTGTTATTATTGGGTATTTTTACCGAAAATGTTAAAACAATTGATGTTTTAGGTAAAAATAATAATGTTTTAGGTAATTTTTTACCGGTTTTATTATTTAAATAATAATAAAATTGGTTGCGCCGTATTTTAGCCTTATATTAAGGTGTCACACTTTAAAACTCCGATTGAGAAGGAAATAGAGGGAAGTCTCATGTGCGGTAGCCTAATATACGGCTAAGGAAATGCACTACTGGTTTTGTTATTATTTTTTTAATAAAACCGGTAAAAAATTATCGGAAACATTATTATTTCTACCGGTTTTGTTATTATTGGGCTCTTTATCGGTTTGGTAATATATCCTGTAAAAAATAATATTTTAGGTAGCGTTTTACCGGATATATTATCAAGCTCGGTAAAACATTAAATAATGTTTTGAGTGGAAATAAAAATATTTATGGTAATTTTTACCGATTTTGTTAAAAAAAATAACAAAATCGATAGCATATTTTCTTAATCGTATATTAAAACCGCCGTTCAGTACAACTTCAAAAAAAAAAAAAAAACTGTTTCACATGAAAAGCTCAATCTCTTAGCGTTGTAACAGAGATTGGAATTAAGCCTCTTTAAGGAAAGAATATTTTCATTTTTTTACACAATTCCATTTTCACGAGTACAAATATATTGCTTCAGTTTCTAGATGTATTCAGATGTTAGTTTCTATATCATAAAGGTTCTATTTTTCTTCAATAAAAAATTGGGTTTTAATTATAAAAATTAAATTATTTAATAGATGTATTCGGATTTGAGATATTATATTCACAAGTATCTGTTCATGATTGTTTGTAGTCAATTGACAATAAATACACAAACGCATATGTAGATGTGACGGTTAAAACTCATAATCTCTTTTTATTATTGAATTATTTGATGAATTTTAAATTTTAAATTACTAGATACTTGATTAGAATATCGTTCTATGATATTTTTCATAAAATATAGTTTCATATTTTAATAATTTTTATTTCCGTTGAAAAGGATCTCAATCATAAAATGAATATTTCCTGTTTATTTTAAAAAATCTTAAATTCGATGCAGATTTTAAAGAAGAAAAATAAGCAAAGAATATTGTGATGTTTTCTACCATCACTCACCGTGATTATGACTATTTGATTTTTCTGGAATCTGGGTTTTTAAATCTGAATTAAAACATTAAATTCTTTTCTAATTGAACCAAGTAACAGCACAAATCAATAGAAGGAAGTAAAGAAAGAACCCAACAAACAATCCCCTTGTCTTTTTCTTCTACCACAATTTCCCTCATGACTAACTTAATTGAAACGTAAATCTAAAGTAACAGTTTAAAGAGTTTGAAAAGAATAAAAGCTTCTGCAATTGAAAACCCAGATTTTGCTTTTGCAAAAAATGGAGGCTTCTTTTCTAAGGTCGATTCAACGTTGAAGAAAAACAAAGGAGAAACAATGGGAGGTATATGCTTTCGTTCCTCGTGTCTCAGATCAAATATTTGAGATTGGGGTTTTTAGTTCTCTAGTGGTGCTTATTTACCTTCAGATTTTGAGGATTTTGGGTTGTTCTAAAGTTTGGCATCTTTAATTGTGGGTTTGCCGTAATATGTTAAGATAGTTGCATGCATATAGATTTTTTTTTGGCATTCTCACCTTTGACCCAAATCATTGTGAAGGGCGGTAAGCCTGTAACCTACTATTAAGTCAAGCTTAAATTGTGGCGGTTTAGTGTGTTTTTTATTACTTGAGAAATATACAAAACTTGTACATGGCTATGCTTATTCAATAAGTTATTGAGCCTTGATATTCTGGCGCTCGACTCTATGGTTGCATGTTAGCGTTTGAATGTCATATAACTGTGGATCAAACTACCATTCTGTAATGGATCGTGGAATGTTTTGAACTGCTTGGATCATGTTGTCGATACTGGATTATCTGTATAAGCTGATACCTTTTGTTCCTCAAACGTAGTATGTGGATGTGAAATTGTGTGAATACCTTCGGCTGACATGTTTTAGAAATTCTTCATACTTTAACAAACCAGCTACTGATTCATCAATTTGTTCATTTGTCCACTTGAAGATTGCCAAAGGATTTTTAAAGGTTAAATTCTCTAGATTATTGGATGAGATGTGCAAGACTTTATTGGTAAACACAAAGTTCCTAAATGCAAAGGAAATATTAGGTTACCCCAATCTCAAGAAAAGTTCACTAAGTTTAGGGCTTATGAAGGCAAGCTTATGATATGATCGTGTAGTTGGTCGAATGTTGAACTTTATTTTTCTATTGTAGGTTGAAGTGTTTCATGTTAAGCAGCTGAGTTTTCAGATAAACTGTCCTTTTTTTCTTTCATGCTTATCATACTTGATACATTTGTTCTTAATTATCTGTGATCGTTTTAAATTCACGTGAACTGCAGACCGAAGAAGATAAAGTTTCTCTGTATGTAAATAAGAAACGAACTGTCAAAACACCATCCCAGGTTATGACCCTGGGGAACTTCTATAAAGGTAATAATTCTTGTCTTCTCATCATATTGAAATGTTTCTTGTTTTCTGTTTTAAAAATATTTTTTGTTCTTTTCCAGAGGACAGATTTCCTTCAGATGAAATGAAAGAGAAACTGGCTGTTCAAATAGGGTTGACACAAAAGCAGATAGCTAGTTGATTTTGTCATAGAAGGTTAAAGGACAAAAGAAGAGATGACTCGTATGCTAATGGCAACATGATCATTCTAGTGGTGGGCAACATGATCATTCTAGTGGTGTCATCCAGGATCATGTTAGTGGGCTCAGGCAAGATTCTAGTGGCAGTATTAAACTGGGTGATTACGGGTATATGATCCGAGGGAGGTAGAACGTGGAAGGATTTTTGGCCAAAGGTTTCCAGTTACTGACCTCACGTATGAGCATAGAAGTTACCAAAATCCATATGATGTCAGATGGAGGATACATCTCTGAAAGTATTTTTCACATGATCAACTTTTTTCTGGAACTAGGAATCCTTATGACATGTGCCATTCGGCTAAACTTACAAAAAATGGAGCAATCGTGCATACTAATCCGAGTTCTAAAAGCATGGGTTATAAGCCATCTGGATATTTGAAGGTTAAGGGTGTGAGCGAGAATCCTGTCATTATTGCTGTTAAGAGGCAGCTGGGGAGGCATTATCGAGAAGATGGTCCAGTACTTAGTATTCAGTTTGATCCACTTCCTCCTGGTGCATTTGAGTTCCCAAGTAGTCATCCAGTCAGTGGTAAGTTAAATAACCAGATCTGTATGATATATTTACAATTTTCGTAAAATGAAACAATTCTGGATGACAGGTTGAGTAGATTTTGTTGCTTTTATTTCCTGTTAGTTTTCATGCTAAATATATTTAGCTTCTGAATTTAGAAATAACGGTTATTGAGCATATTTTAAGCCTACAGGCATCGACTGATGCACCTTAATTTCAAAAGCAAAAGCATAAGACAAATCTTTCTAGTGCTGGAGCGAAAGAGAGGCTTAAGCCCTAAGTCATTGAAGCATAATCATATTTTTTTATCTCATTATCTGTGTGCTTGTGTATTTTTCCGCTTCTTTCCTTAACCCTTTCCATTTCCTTCATTCAATGTTTACTTTCTTGTTTCATGTAACTTTCTACTAGGTGTTTCTTCATTGCTAAGTAGCTAATTATTTTGGTTTTCATCTCTCATTCTCTTTTGTTTCCCTTTTTTAGTTTTCAGCTCTGATCTGTCTCCCTTGATTGTCTAAACTCTTATCTACCCCCTTCCATTTTTGCCTTAAATCGATTTCTCTTTGTTTTGCTGCCATGAATTTCTACTTTTGATTTCAAAAACATCTTTCTTGTTTATTGTCTGTGTTACAAGTTATTTAATTAGAAGAGTTAAAATGCAGCGGGATGATGTTTCAATGGAATTTGCATTACCTGTCTGGAAAAAAAAAGGTCTAAGCCCTGCAGTGAAGTTTATGATTCGGTCGGAAAGGCATATATGCCTTTGGTAGTATAACACGTGTTATGTTCTAGGATCTGGGATTGAGTCATGGGATGACTAACGCGCAAATCAAATTCGAAGAAAGGGTCTTTTCCCTTATTTCGATTTCTAGTGTTGCCTATGGTTGTGGAACTCAAGGATAGTTGCCTACCGTAATTTTCTGAAAATTTCAACTTTCAACCTATTTTATTCATTAATAATTTACCAGGTTTACAACTTAGGAAAGTACTCTGTTGCAACTGTTGCCTCTTACTTTGTTATACTTTGAGAAATTTCTTGTTATTGCAAAGGCATACAATTGACCAAACCATGAAGATTCGAGTTTGATGTCAGCAATGCATCAGTAAACAGTTAATTATAAATGATATGCAAATAGAATAATCATAAAAGTCCTAGGTTAGTGGCTCAGAAATGGGAATGGATATATTTGAATATGAATCCGATGAATGTTTCTGTTTGATTAGAACATGCTTCTCCGAAGCTTGAAATATTCATAAAAAGTTGCAGTAGTGGTAGGATAGCTGATTAGCATAGTTGTGCTCTACACCTTGGTCTGTTTCTGTGAGGCTATTTGTCTCCTACCTCTAGACCTGTTATTCCAGTTCTATCACCAGATGGGCTTCCCTTGTAGTCTTGAATCTTAGCTTTGATCATGTATCTTCAACCTCGAAATATTTGAACTCATAAAATATCTTCTATTTATTGTGTCAGCAGAGCTAATCAGTGTTAGAGATTCCCGACAGGATAGCCATCCATATATATCAGGAGTGATGAAGCATCCTAAGCCTAAAATTGTAAGTGGATTCTTGATGCATTTTTCAAACTTTTTATATTATTTAGCATACATAATTGACTCCCAAAGCATTTTTAATTTTTTTTTAATTATATTACCCTGTTAACAAGTGTTCAAAATAACTGAGAGTAAGTCTGTACCAGTTCGATCATTTTATGAACTAAATACGATGTTAACCTATTTTTCTTCCTAAGGTGCCATTTTGCAATCTTGTTCAGAGAGAACTAAATTTGGGGTATTGTCTTTGATAATGAAGAATTTTCTGTGAGTGTTATAGCATGGACCATGCTGCTAGTATTTACAGGGGTAAAGGCATAGAAAAAGTGCTACAGGTTATTTAGTTCTAAGCAACTTTCTCTGGCCCCAGTTCTCCTAAAATTACTACCGGAGGAAGATAAATCTGCTATGCTCGTTGAGAAATATTTCAGATCCACATTCATATGGATCTTTTAGTTGAACAGTGACGTAATGAATTATTGTTGTACTTTTGACATTAGAGCTTGAAAGCTTTGGTTGTCTAGTTTTAACTTCGTAGTGCTTCAATTTTACTTTGTACTTGGATACATGGAAGTCACACTAATTCTTTCAATTTGAAGCTATTTTGATATTACTTATAATGGAAAATCATATTTAACAAACTGGATATCATCCTTCTTTTATGAATATATTATTCACAAGTTCTTTTTTTTTTTAACATTTTTCTGATGCATCTTGTGTTGTTTATTTCCACTTTAGATTAATGAAGTACATAATATCATGTTGAGTTCTCAGGATTCATACATGAAGGGTGAAACTTCAACACTGTGCAGGGGTCTGAAAGTCGGGGCTGGAAATCTCATCATGAACCAAAACATAAGCCTTCTTTTTCTTGTTCGAACCCTTTTCCTAGGAAGGACTCTCTTATAGATATCTACAAAGTTTATGCTGACAAACCTGCTGTCAATGAATGTCAACGAAGTAGGATGAGCTCTAAGCTTGCTGTTGGAAGGATTGTGTCGGATTCTTTTTCTAATTATCCTGTCTTCTATAGTGAGAAAATTACTAATGAACAAGAAAGTCCTGGGTCACATGATGATGACTCATACCTACATAGCCCAAAAGCCTGCCTAAAACTTCAAATTTGATAAGTGCATGCAGTAAGTCATTGGGTGCTGATAGAGGGACATTTGTGAGGATGGCAAAGGTGTCATTATTGAATTTATAATTTTCACGTACTAGCTTTGTCATTTACCTGTTCCCATGCTGAATGTTTTCTCTTCAAATTCTTGTGTTGATTATGTGCAGGTGGAGAACGTTGGTGGCGAGTGGAATCTGAGAAAGGATTACCCTGTCAGAGTAAAAGTTGATGCAGCAAATGAATTGAGAGTAAGTTCAAGCTTTAGTTGGCTTGCGGTCAAATATTCATATTATGTACTAATTTTTTTTTTGCATGACACTCTCTTTCATATTTGAAGGTTGCCAAAGAAGTCGATCTTGAATTTCCTCAACAAGATTCTGTGGCAAACGCGTTCCAGTGAGCTTTTGCTTTTGTGTCTATTGTGATCTTGCATGTTTGTACACTGGCATTTATTTTTATGTGAACTCGTGTGTGTTCCTCTTTATTATCTTTTTCTGTTTGCTTGCGTCTATGTGTTGTGCATGGCCATTCTTGTTTTTGCTCATGATGAGAGGCTTACCATACGAAATTTGAGTAAGATTGATGCAATTGAAGTGTTTCATTTAGCTTCTGCGTATCTCTAGTATTAACCGTTTCGCTAAATGAACATTAGTTACATAGTAGCTCTCATCCTTACACAGAACTGATGCCTGTGCATTTGATAACTTCATTAGCAAAACCATCCCGTATGTATCATAAACATGGAATGCCAAGATTTTTTTGGCTCTCTTCTGGAACATAAATGACGGGCACGGATTCTTCCATACGTCTTGTAAATCATTCGTTTTTTGGGGTTAGTGGTGGTGTGGCATTCATTTTGTTGAAGTGTATGCCTAGCAAGGCATGATTCTGAATCGCAGTTACGTAATCTTTGCATTGCATTTTATGTCGTCTAGATCTTCCATGGATGTACCGAGTAGCTTGAGCGATGATGAAATTGCAGAAACTAGTTTATCCTCTCGGATTGACTATGCTTATGGTTGAAGGATTGTACGTTGTCCGAGAGGCTTAAGGGGTTGTAAAAGATGGCGTGACAGGAAAACTACTGCTAGGGGAGAGCAATGATGACGGAGAAAATAGGGAATTAAAATTATCAAGTTGATGCTGAACCGTTCAAATCTCTTCATCTAAATATATTTGTTGAGCATGTTATTTTTTTCTTAAACTTTTGGGTTCGAAGAGTTGTATATGCAGAGCGTGTTGTTAATAAATTCAATAAATTTTGAACATATATTATCTTATAATCACATCAAACTATTAAAAATATTAATTTATTGATATTTCAATGGAATTTTTTTGAATAGATACTATTATATTCTTAACGACTCATTTTATATAACGTGTTTTCCAAAATGTTTGTATAAAGACTTTTACATGTTCAGCATTAGTGTTTTTTTTGTCATTAAACGATCACACTCTTGATATCTGTAGTGTTCGAATCTGGGTCTTTAAGGAATAATAATAATTCATTTACTTCGAGTTTATGTTTAAATTTAATTGTAAATATTTATAATGTTACTACACTATTTGATTACTATTTAAATAATTTTCTATAATCATATATAATATATATCATACAAAGTCGGGGATGGACTTGGGCAAGGTGGGTGGCCTTCGGACTCTAAAAATTTTAAATTTATATATATATTAGATATTTTCTATTAAAAATATGTTTTTACCTCCAAAAATTTTATAAGTTTGTCTCCCTCTTAAGATTTTTATAAATTGGTCATACTAACATAAAATTTTACGTCTATCCATGCGTCCACCCTAAAGTGGATTTCTTGTCACAAGTCGGGACAATTTTTTTTTTAAAACATCAAAACAAATCGAATTTTGCTCACGAGAAACTAAGGACTTAAGTCATGAAGGTATTATTTTGTTGAAGAAAATTACAGTAATTGACCGTTTGGAAAAATATTTCAATGGAAATCCCCATTGAAAGGAACTCCAGTTGCAGGCAACCATTTGTCGCCATTAATGAAGTTGGAAACACTGAATTGATCAACTTCAGTGCTGCTTATATCCTTATGGTATCCAGGCCAGTTAACTCGATAATCAGTACTCGATCCTGGCCCATTGTTCTTATATTCTGCATAATAAAGTGTACTATCATAATCCCGATTCCATTGAATCCAACCCGAAGGTTCAATCAAACTATCCATGAAACTTCGTACGTAAACGGTTCTCGAGTACTCCTTCCACGGCCTTCCGAGGTACGTTTTCTTTGCTCCGCTGCTCGAAGCCAAGTCACCGGTGGCTTTAATGACGCAATCGTCGATCGATATGCCGGTTCTTTGGTTCGGATCGGTCCTTCCTTGTGCAGTGATGATGGTTTGTTGATTCGGCAATGGTAGTCGAGGGTATATGTTACACTTTTGGAAGACGACAGGGGCGTTGCCGAATATGAAATCGACCGTGCCGTAGATATCGCATTCTCTGTAGAATTGCCTGGCAGAGTGTGCGTATAAGGTGTCCTGGTATCCCTCGAAGCTGCATCGGTAAAATACGGACTTTTCGGCTCCGTTTCGGACGGCGACGGCTTGGCCCTTGGTAGGACCGGCAGTGTTTTGGAATGTTATGTCGACTGCGATGAATTTCTTGCCCACAACAGCTGCATCAGGGGAGTCACGTATGAGTCAAGAAAATGCAATGTTCGAAATAACATTATTTAAGGCTGAATTATGCTTTACCGAATGTTGCTGTGTTGAACGTGGTTAAACCATCCGCGGTGCTGCGATTTCCGGTAATTATTGTGCGGCCTATACCATTGCCGATCAAAATCAAGTTCTGCTTATTCTTAGGTATCGAAATGTGCTCTTCATAGATGCCGGTGACCACGTAAATCACAAAGTATTGATCGCTGTCACCGGGATTGTTCGGTGCGGCTGCGATCGCGTCGTTGATGGTTGTGAATTGGCCATCTCCTCTAGGACTTACCACCACCACTTGTGCCACTGAAATGTTCCCATTTGTTAACATTTCAATATCCTTTTTTCCTGTTGCAAATTCATGAATTACTTGCTTATCGGTTGACATCAGCAATGATAAAGGGGAGTTTCTTTCGATAATCGAATCGGATTTGGGAACCATAAGGTTTCTTCGAGTTACGGTGAAGTCACCATGATCCCAATGCCTGAAAACCGCTAGAGAAACACTGATGCTCTTCGTTCCGTTCAACCGATACAAACGATCCTTGATATTCGATGCTAACGGCACCGATTCGAGTCCTTGGAAGCAAGTCTCTACGTTAGCTAGAGCAGCACTAAGCAAAGCATCCAAATCATCAGCGTTGAAGCTGCTTAAACCGTCCGAAACTTGTGACAAGAAATCCACGTTCTGATCAGATAGAAACCGGCAATCCTCGAGCGCTCGTACCTTCTCGAGCGACGTCGAAGGGAGCCTGAGGAAATGTTCGACGGAAGCAAGCAAACTACGAGCATTCGACAAAGAATGATGGATCGAAATGTTGCCGTAGTCGAAGATGGTGTGCAGCCTGTTAGAGGTTAAAATGTAATTGCAGTGATCTGCATGTGGCGTGGTTCTGCAAATGGAGTCCTTGTCAAGGGACGAAGAAGGCAAGGCATGAGATTTAGAGAAGATGATAATGAGAAGAGATATGATGCAAAGGGCAGAAACCTTCATTGCCCTTGCCCTTGCCCTTGCCCTTGCCAATGCCATTGCCCTAAAGTTTATTAGTATTGATGGAACAAGCTTTGTCCCTTGTGTATATATACCCATCCCTAATTAACCTTGAAAGAATGATATTAAATGACTCATTGCAGTTAATTTTCCTATTGGAGTCTTGCATTGTTCATTAATTAATCCTTTAATGACTTATAACTCTTTTTTATTTTTATTTTTGTACGATAAATAACGGATTTTACTTCATTCAATTTAATTAATGATTTATAACTTATTTTCTATCCAATTTTTGAAAAATGATTTTGTTTAGAACGGTCCAACTTAAATATCAAACATTACATTAATCATCAAAGTGATTCGATTCAAACTCTCATTTGAGAGTTTATTTAGAGCATGATTAAACAAAAAAAATTTTATTCATTCATACAACATAAGCACACCATGGAATGACATATATTATTAGTAACAAAGAACAAACTAGGAATAAGACATGATTTTTTTTTAAAAAAATACCCCCTCCGTCTCGCTAAAATTGTCTCTTATTGACTTTTCAAAAGTCAAATCTTTTAAACTTTGACCACAATTATTTTAAAAATTAAATTCTGTAAAATATATATTTCAAAACTACTTAATCGAAGGTTTTTAAAATATTTTTTTCATATTTTTATAAATAATAAATGTTAAATAATGGTGAGTAGTTAAAAAAATTACAAAAAAAAAAATCAACAGTTAACAGATTTAATGAGACAAAGGGAATAACAAAATGTAGTGAAGGGCATTTTCATCTTTTTACATTCAACACACTAAATCGTACCAAATATGAAATCTAAACTTACCATAATTTTGATACAACATTCATATAAGCACTATACAAATTTTTTGTTGTATCGTGTTTAAAACTCTTCTTGAATTGTAAAACTAATACTTATAGGGATTAGTTTGTAAAAAGTTAATAAATTTTGTTACTTGATTAAAAATAATAAATTATTGATTTAATTCTGGAATTGAAGTGATTATAAGTTTATTGTCGAAAACCCACCTTAATTCGAGTTAGAATTCATTCTCAATCTCAAATGTTGTTACTTTCAATTATTTGACAATGACCGCTCGATCATTTTGTTACAGTTGCTGGTGCTTGAACCAGTGATCTCGAGAAACAATAACGATTCCTTTAACACTGAGGTAAATTGATTCGTACGTACATAAACATACTTGAAATATAAAAAATGTTCCAATTATATCATGCTTCATAACATTAAACTAACAATTGAGTATGCTTTGAGTATTAAAGTTTAGTTATTCAAATTAAGTTGTTTTTTAGGAATTCCTACAATTAGTTTAGGGATTCAATATCATTTACCTTTTATAACAAGTTTGACACAACATTCTCATGCTATATGACTTAAATGAAAAATACAATGTTAAAAGCAGCCAATTTTAACTCCCTCTACGGCTGAACCTTGCAAGCAGGGACAATAACACCGAGCATGTGGACGAACATAATGGATAAAGGAGCAACTATTATCGGCCTCGACGAAGTTACAAGTAAAGGCTCCAATGGAGGTATGATCCCCGAAGAATATATGCTCAAAACGATTCCATTAAGTAGCATGGTTTGACTGTGTAAATTTCCGTCTTTTGCTGTTAGATGGTATTCCTCTCTTCTACTTACTCTTGCATTGATACCTTTAGGAAGTTTGATGATATGGATTTTGTGCTTGTGGTGTGTGGCAAGGAAATTGTGGTATTGATTGATGGCAGGCTTTGCCTTGACGGTAGTGATATTGTCTAGGTTGATCAATAGTAGTGTGATGCCTTTCTGCAAGATACAACAAAATTTTGGTCAAAATCTTAGAAGGGTAATATTGCTTGGTTTGATAATTGAATATGAGATGACGAACTTACTGATTGTTTTGTACAGTGAGTGTATGATCGAATCTTTTCAGTCCCCGTGAAGCTTCTCGAAAGAACATTTCTTCCCATTAGCCAGTGTCAAAGAAGAGCACTGCAATGGAGAAACAACATTATCAATATCTCAAATAGATAGGCTAATGAAAGAAAAATAAACCTGTAGTAGTCTGGATTTGGTTCAAAGTTGGTGGTAGAGAATAGAGAAATTACACAGGAAATTATATCCTTTCATATCAGCAAGTACATCAATTTATAAGGGATACAACGCTCATCAACTTTCCTCTAACTGCCTAACAACCCTAGCTAACCACTTAACAGACTAACCACCTATTCAATACACGTGCATATTTCTTTAACAGAAACACATGTGCACGTTCTTTAACAATAGTCTAACATTCTCCCTACTTTTTCCTATTGTTTTTTCTTTTAACAACATACTAACATTCCTTTACTTAGACTGCAGGAACCACACACACGTTTTTGCGAAATTCCTCGAAAGCAGTCTTAAACAACGCTTTGGTGAATCCATCAGTAATCTGGTGCATATCTGGAACGTGGTTCACCTGCAACTGGCCAGCAGCAACTTTTTCTCGAACAAAATGGACATCCATGTTAATTTGCTTAGATTGAGCGTGATAAATGGGGTTTACACTCGTTTCTACTGCCCCTGTGTTATCACACCAGATCACTGGTTCCTGTCGTTGCTGAAGTCCAATATCAGTAAGTAGAGCATTTACCCAGGTCACTTTAGCTGCAGTATCTGCTACACACTTGTACTCAGCTTCCATCGTTGATCTTGACACTGTTTTCTACTTCTTAGAGCTCCAAGCAACGAGGCACTTACCTGCAAACACTCCATAACCAGAAATGGACCTTCGATCATCAATGTTTGCACCCCAGTCTACATCAACAAATGCAGTAACAGCCAAACATTTATCTACCGGTTGAAATAACATCCCATAACTAACAGTACCAACCAAGTATCTCAGTATTCGCTTGACTGCAACCATATGTGATTCACGTGGTGCATGCATGTATTGAGCAACTTTTCCAACGCTATAAGCCAGATCATGACATGTATGGCATGCATACAATAACGAGCCAACTATACTACGATATTTTGTAGCATCAGACAATAATTCCCCCTCATTTGCTAATAACTTGGTAGCCAAAATCATTGGTGTGCCACAACCAGTTGTTCCTTTCATTCCTGACTTTTCTAGAAGTTCCAGTATAAACTTCTTCTGACTTAGTACAATAGTATCACGTGATCGATGCACTTCTATTCCCAAGAAGTAGCTAAGTAACCCTAAATCTTTGAGAGAGAATTTTTCTCTAAGCAACTGCACCACCTCTTGAATTATGTTGGATGATTGCCCAATAATAACAATGTCATTAACATACACTAATATATAAATGTACTGCCATTTCCTCTGCTGTTAAACAAAGATGAATATGCTCGAGATACAATAAACCCCATTTCAACAAGGTTGTCTCTAAGCTTGGTATGCCAGTTCCTAGGCGCTTTTCGAAGACCGTAGAGAGCCTTGTGCAATTTGCAAACAAGAAGAGTTCCATCCTCAGCCATTTGCTCTAACCCTGGCAGTTGTTGCATAAAAACATCTTCATCTAAGTCCCCATTCAGAAACGCATTATTAATGTCCACATGTCTCAATTCCCATCCATTTGTTACAGTTAAAGCTAGCACAATATTGAAGGTAAAAAACTTCACAATCGGGCTAAAGGTATCTGTGAAGTCATATACAGACACCACTGAGAAGCCCTTTGTAACCAACCGTGCTTTAAACCTATGAACAGATCCATCAGGGTTTTGTTTGAGTTTGAACAACCACTTGCAGCCTACATGTACACGCCCTGCTGGAAGTTTTACTACCGACCACGTATTATTTTTTTAAGAGCATCAAGTTCGGCTTGAGCTGCTTCTCTCCAGTTGTCAAACTACAGTGCATCTTAAATTGTGACAGGTATTTCATCCTCAAAATAACTGGAGTATGACTTGGGCTTGAACACCCCACATTTGTTGCGTGTCAGCATGGGGGGACAGTTTTGCCTTACCACACCTATAACATCATTTCCAGAATCGTTGGACAAATTATCACAAGAATTAACTCATGTGCCAGCATGCTCATCTACATCAGTCGTATTTAGATATGAACTGGTAGTTGTGGTTACCTCTAAGACAGGCACAACATCTTCGGTTGTGCCTAAGATAGGTATAACTTCAGCAACAACCTCATGTGACATTTGTTGTTGTACTTGACCTGCAGTTGTGTCAACCTCCTCTTCAAGCACATTATCTTCATCATTAGTTGGAATAGCCACTTTGTGCCACCTTTTATCATCAGAAACAATTGGAATTTCTTGTGACTGAAATCCAGAAGTTCTGTGGTGCAAATCGTTTGTATCTTTACCTGCAAATAGAAACACCAACTCATTAAATATAACATGGCGTGATATATAAACTCTTCCATTATTCGCAAGGCACTGGTAACCCTTATATTGAGGGCTAGAACCATATACGTACAGGGGTGTGAAAGAAACACCAACTTATGATTTTGAAATGGCCTTAGATGTGGGAAACATTGACATCCAAACACTTTTAATGTGGAATACTCGGGTTTCTTGTTGTATAATTTCTCAAAAGATAACAAACCCTCAAGCAACTTTGTTGGTAAATGATTAATAAGATGAACAGAAGCTACCATGGCATACGACCAATACTGAATAGGCAGAGATGTCTGAGCTAGCAGAACCAGTCTGAGTTAAACTATATGCTGGTGTTTTCGCTCAACATTGTTCTGTTATGATGTATGGGGACATGATAATCGATGTACTATACCTACTTTGGCTAGTAATGTAGAAAATGGGCGATACTCACCTCCCCAATCAGTTTGGACAACTTTTATTGATGCTCCAAACTGATTTAGAACAAGCTTATGAAACAATTGGAACGCTGATAGGGCTTGAGCCTTATCTTTTAGAAAATAAACCCAAGTATACCGAGTGCATGCGTCTACGAATGAAATATAGTATCGAAAGCCATTAGATGCCACATATGGAGGTCCCCATAAATCTGAGAAGACTAGCTCAAAAGGAACTTTATACCAAGTAACAGAAGATGAAAAAGGAAGTTTGTGACTTTTGCCCATAAGACAAGCCACACATGTTTTATTGATTTCAGAATCAAGTTTTACATTGACTTCCTTAGCTACTTTATCTAAGGCATACTGAGCTGGAGGCCCTAAGCATCGATGCCAAAGTTTAGACTAGGCTTGAGACACATCTGCTGACACAAGATGCATAGTAGAACACAATTCTTCTTTATGTGCACAACCAAAAGCAAAGGTATACAACCCACCCTTTTCTTAACCTCGCAGAAAGACAACTCTAGTAGACTCGTCACGCATGAAACATTTTTCAACATGAAATTCAAAGTAGACTGCATTATCCCTAACAAGCTTGGAGGCTGAAAGCAAATTTCTTGTTATACGGGGCATATGTAATAAATCATTCAAAAGCAAAGTTCTTGAAGAATCCATGACTGAATTACCAATATTACTAATGTTAAGGGAAACTCCATTTCTCACAGTGAGTTTACCTGGGCCTCTAAATTCTGTAGGATTTGAAATATTAGAAACATCAGGGGTAACATGATGCGTTGCACCCGAATCCACTACCCAGAGGTCAGCTGATTTGGAAACCATATTGACTTGCGATGATCCTTCTGTTGTTTGAGAGCATTCTTTGCAGTACTCACAACCTAAGCTAGAGGATTCAACAACTGAATAATGAGTGTTAACCGATTGACCTTTATGAGTACGAGAGTTAGATGTAACACACATAAAGTCTTCATCAAACCGGTGCCAGCAGCGATCAACCAGGTGACCAAGTTTGCCACACAGCTGACACTGAATTCGAGTCCATCCTCGGCCACGACCATCAGGCCAGCTTACTGAGGATGATCGTGAAGACCGGGGATCACGTCGACCATTGTCGGGAAAGTCCACCTCATGCTGAGCAACATTGGCACTTATAGGTAGCGAGTCCAACGACTCATCGAAGCATGCTAGTTGACATTCATCATCCAAGAGCACATTATAAATATCCTCCAAAGAAATAGTTTCTTTTATCATTGTAATAACCGTCATAAACGGTTGATACTCTCTGGGTAACCTTTTTAAGATACTGGCTATATGGCCAACATGCGAAACCGCGCTTCCACAATAAGCAAGTGTGTCACATACTTCCTTTACTCGAGTAAGATAGACTCGTAAACTATCATTCTCTTTCTTAAACGATTGTAGCTTGCAATGTAAGTCCATGGCTACAGTCGTAGACCTACTAGAAAACATTTGTTGTACTGTACTCCATACTGCAGCAGCCGAGTCTGCTCCTACAAACTGTGGTAGAATGAGGGTTGATAGTAGAAAGAAGCCAGGATGCCAACACGCTGTCATGTGCCACGAACTCTTCAAAGGCATAATTGATAGCTATCTCACCATTATCATCGAAAATTATCTCCGGTGGTAGCTTCAAGTCCCCAGTCAATAACCGTTTTAGACGGTGGCTTCGCACAGTAAGCAAAATATGTTGTTTCCATAGCGGAAAATTCATTTCATCTAGGACAACATTCACTTTCTTGTGTGCAAAGCTCTTGGATGAATCCATGACCAACAACGAAGATTGAGCAGCAACGAAAGCTTAGAAGAAAACCCCAGAATTTCCAACGAATGATACCATGTTAAGAAGTAAAGAGAATAGAGAAATTACACAGGAAAGCATATCCCTTCATATCAGCAAGTACACCAATTTATAAAAGATATAACGTTCATCAACTTTCCTCTAACTGCCTAACAACCCTAGCTAACCACTTAACAGACTAACCGCCTATTCAAAACACGTGCATATTTCTTTAACAGCAATACACGTGCATTTTCTTTAACAACAGTCTAACAGTGGTGTTGAGTAAACCATAATTTCCACCAATCAGTGATGTCTGCAATACGTTTTCGTATCGTACTTGGATGCCATGCCGAGTTGATCTAAATACCTACATTTCATATCGATCAAAAATCTATTGGACCGATCCAAAACGCCTTAACATCAGGATAACAAAGTATCACCAGAAACTGAACACAAATACATTTGTGACGAAATGATGGCCGCTGTTTTAAGCTCCTCCAGCCTTACCCACCCAGGCAACTGTTGAAGTTGGAGAACTCTTGATCATGTTATGGACGCCGATGAATGTTTCGAACCAGCCTTCGAGAATGGATGGATCGAGAATCTTTTTCAATAAGATGTTCATCAACTCCCTACAGTTAGAAAACGATTGTCAAAAGATCCTTGAAGATCTAATCAAATACGGGATTGTACAAGGTGAATCATACCTGGTCCAAGGTTGTATATGTGGTGAGTGACAATATCTACAGATTTGATCGTTTTATTCATGTATTCTTCAAACCAATACTAGTCGTAGAGCCCTCCGGGTGCAATAATCAACGGCTTCAAATCGACATTCTTGTATGCCTTCTCTACTACGCTTTGAACTGCAGCAATGTCAACTGCATACTGGTCTGCAGATACCCGAGTTCTGACCCCGCTCCCGCTCAATTCATTTCCTAACAAGCAAAGCATAAAAAATTCAATCTTACTAGCGATAATGTATCGAGAATTTAAGTCAATATCGAACAAGTAGTTACCTAACTCCCAACCATGAATGTTATAGTTGTTTTCGACAGTGTAACGAATAAAAAATTTTGCACTGGTGCAGCTCCAAGAACCAATGGCTTTACCATTAGAATGTATGGTTCGACCAACAAGGGCACTTAATCCGAAAACAACCTTAGCCCTGAATTATTAAACAAATTAAACATTCGTATTGGTGAATGTTCATTATAAGTGTGAATATTATACCTGGAAGAAGGAATGAAGTTGATCCCATCATTCATAGGTAAACATCCATGTGTAAATCCAAACATCTAAGATGTGTTCTTGACAAACGAAGTGCAGGGTTGTTGATTCTCATTTGTGTCGTATATGACGTTAGTCAATGACCATTAAGCCTTTATTAAATAATGATTCACTTGGTATTATTATTTACGGACGAACGCAGAAATTTATACCACGGGTGTAAATTTAAAAAGCTAAATTAAAAATTTTAGCTGTGCAGAGCTATAAAATTTTAAAGGTACAAAATTACATAATCAATAGAAAGTACAAAAAAAAAACTCACTTCTTTTCCTGAAGAGCAATGGAGCAGATCACCATTCTTTTCCTGATCTGACCTACCCTGAAGAGAAGCATAGCAAATCTCAATTCTTTTCTCGATCTGACCTACCCTTAAGAGCAGCGGAGCAGATCCTCATTCTTTTCCCGATCTAACCTACCTTGAAAAGCAGCGGAGCATATCTCATTTCTCTTTTCGATCTAACCTACCGTGAAGAGAAACGGAGCAAATCTCATTTCTTTTCCTCATCTGACCTACCCTGAATAGCAGTAGAGCAGATCACCCTTCTTTTCCTAATCTGACCTACCCTGTAGAGCAGTGAAAAATCTCGATGACTTGAGATACGTATTTCAAAAATAAAACCTTAGATCTACTCTATTCTCAAGGGATTTTGATGAAACTGCCCTTGTTTTTGTGCTAAGGAGAGAGAAAGAATCGAAAATAACCATTTATCTTCGTCTTCGGGATGAAAGCGATGGCCGACGCCACCTCTCATGACGGTCGACGTTGGAAAATGAAGAACATATTATGAACTCCAAGAACATTTCAGAGAATTTTCTAAGAGGGTTTGATCTTTCTTTTAAAAAATAAAAAGAGTGAGCTTTGTTTTTCTTAAAATGAATTTTAGATCTTCATAGAAGTGGCCTGTGTTTTTTAATGGTCAAGGGTAAACCTTCGCCGCAACCCCTCATTATTTTATTTATTAATATACACTTTTTTAAATTCAGTTTATGTATGTAAATATGTTTGTTTGTACATATAGGCCTAGTTTTAATTTTTAACTAGTATATATATGTTATTCTTATGTGCATTACTTGAGCCTCATTAAAATAATTTGATCGAGGGTAATCCTCGTTTATTTTAAGATTGTGATGAGGTGATTGTCTTAAGGTATAAAAATGTCACTTCCGATAATCTTAAAATAAAAGGGTATCCTATTAAGTGTAATCCTAAAATTGATTTCATATAAAATTTGGGAATAAGAAAAAGACTATGTTTTTTAATTAAATTCACCTAAAAAACTGTTAAATTGGATCTACGGCCTGATTTCGATGTCTTTAAATAATTGAACATAGATAATCTTAAAATAAAGGGTATCCTATTAAGTGTAATCCTAAATTGATTTCAATAAAATTTGGGAATAAGAAAAAGACTATGTTTTTTAATTAAATTCACCTAAAAAACTGTTAAATTGGATCTACGGCCTGATTTCGATGTCTTTAAATAATTGAACATACTTATTCTCAATAAAGGTTAGTAAAATAATTAATTAATTGTATTTGTTTGATGTATATAATTTAGTTTCATCTTACTTTGTATGTGTTTAAAAGGGGTCTCAAATTAAGTTATATTCGAACGTATGAGTTTTATTGCAAAGATGACTAATTAATTAATTAGATACCGATTTAGGGTATTGTGGGGGATTTAAATCTTATCTCATGCGTAATCGACTCCTGAACTTGTATTTTTTGGTAACGCATATCAAAATGTTTTAATATAATTAAGATTTAATTTTATTAAAATAACAAATGTATTGTGGGTGTCTAATCACACTCTAATCAAATATAGGTGGCGACTCTGTGAACTAATTTTTATTTTAACCTTCAGTCCCAAATTATCCCAGGTGATTTTTTTTATAAAATTCCGATTTTTAATCGACACAAAATTTTAAAAAGAATGTCTCTACAATGTATATATGAATCAAAATGATCAAATATTAGAAGTTAAATTTATCATTATGCCTTTTTTAAATCATGAAAATGAACTCAAATATTTACGCATACATATCGTCTAGAGCTCGGATGAAGCGGGGGGTGTTAGGGTAGGAAGTGGGAAATAGGCCCCCGAACTCTATTATTTTGTAGTTGAAGGCGAGTGAGACACGAGTGAAGCTCAAACACCTATTGTCAACAAAGCAAACCAAAGCTATTTACCCAGCATTTCATGGAAGAAGGTATGGTGAAGTAAGTTTTTTTTTTATATAAAAAAAGGCATAAAATCTTAAAAGCTAAACAACAAAATTCTTTGTACGTCTCTTCTTTAGTTAGTGTACGATTATTGGAGAGAGAGAGAGAGAAAGCAAAGCAAAAGAGCATTGTTCTGAAAATTGGATCGGATCGGTCGGTTCAACCGGTTCAATCGGGAATCGTTGTCTAATCCGGTTCAAATTAAATTGGTTGAACCGTTATTAATGAACCGACCAGAATTGTTGAACCGTTCGAACCGGACCGGCTGAAAACCGGAAAAAACCGCCAATTTTATTTTTTATTTAAAAAAAAAATTAAACCAAACGACGTCGTTTGTTAAACGAGCCAAGTCGAACTCAAGTATTGCTGAGCTCGACTCAAACTTTAAAAGTAAGCTCAACTCGACTCAAACTTTAAAAGTAAGCTCAACTCGACTCAAACTCACGAACTAAAAATTATCAAGTTCAACTCGAACTCGAAATATAATATTGAAACTTGAACTCGAAAAGGCTTGAACTCAAAAAAAATTTAGAAGCTCGATTGAAGTCTAAAATTCGAGCTTGATTGAAGTGAAAGAATAATTCACTCTATGCTCACCAAAAGACTCCATGATTTTGAATGTCAAATTACCTCTATTATTTATAGAAGTTAGTTGGGATGCTCTTCTATGTTTCTTAGCCATGTGGGATTGTTTTGTTCTCATATTTTTACTCTTTAGACTTTTGTGATGTTCTTCTATGTTTCTTAGCCATGTGAGATTGTTTTTTTTTTAAATTAAACCAAAAAATATCATTTTGTTATGATTTTTTAGTCCCAAATTTATTTTTAATTATAGTTATATAATTATATTTATTATTTAATATGTTTTACCTTAAATATTATGTGTAGTTAATTTGAATCATTTTGTTTCACTTGATTTTATGGTTTTTACTCATATATGTTATGAGATTTGAATATGACTTGTGATATACAAAATTATTTTTTATTAAATATTTTTTGTATTTTTATTTAATTTTTAAATAATTATGACGTCGTCTGGTTCTTCCGATCAATCGGACCGGTCCGACGGGTTGAACCAGTGAACCGATAGCATGATCGGTTCGCTAACCGGTCCGATTCTGAAAACCATGCAAAAGAGAAACAAAATAAAACAAAGAAGCAACATGAAGACGATGAAGGGAAAGAGGGATCGGATTGGAAGACAAGCTCCGCAACAAAATAAACTCGGATTGTTATTATATTTTGAGATTTCGAATTTGAACACCGTATATACGAGGTTACGAGTATATATTATCGAAGTCTTTAAATAAATATTACTTATTATTCACCTTAAACTTATCGAAAATATATTCATCTTATTATATTACGATTTGAGATATAACACCCAAATAGATATATTTTCCTTTGATTGCACTTCTCTCCATCTTTTCCTTTTGAGTTCTTCCCCTCGTTTCCCTTTGATTATATATATGTTTTATGTTTTTAAAGATTGAGCTTTTAACAATTGAAGGAAAACGTCTTTATCTGCATAAATTTGTTATTCATTGTGGCTACCACAAGAAGGCCTCTACCGTCAGACTCGGGGGTCTTTGTAGATGCGGTGACATCATCGTCCACAGCACTCCGAGCTGGCCCCGATGACCTGTCCCTTTGCTTCAATACAAACGCCGCCTCGGTGGTGGCTGCTGCTCCTGAATCCGCCACCACTCAATGCCACCCTCTGGTCAGATCAGCAACGGCCTTCCCTCAGAAATGGGGATGGTTGTCTTCGCGATTTCGTTTTTGTCGCTCCTGCGTCTTTTAACCATCAGCATTACCATCACCATCTCCACCATTTTCAAGATCCCATAATCGGAAATGATCAGATCAACGGTCACGATGCTGCCACGGCACTTGGTGTCGGCGTCGGTACTGTTTTCCCACTTCTTACAACATCCCCATGGTAACTCCACAAAAATGGAAGATTCTGATCTGCTGAAAAACAGTGGTCGTAACTCACTCTGATTTGGTACAAAACCGTGGCGGGGGAGGCGGCGGCGGTCCAGGCTGAAGCTCAGCACGACGTGTCAGATTGTGGGAACCACGCCAAGAAAATATTACATACAGGAGATGTAGAACATGCTGTAAAAGTCGAGGCTTTGACTGCCTTACGCACGTTAAAGCACTTGGGTACCTGCTGCTAGAGAAGAGAAACAGCTCATGGCAACCGCGGCCGCTACTGGCGGTGGTGGCTCATCGGCGTCGACATCTGCGGGTAAAATACCGAGACTTGTCATTTCACAGACGACGAACACTCATACTTCAAACACTACTTCAAGAAGCTTTGACACTAACTCAAGTCACCAAGGTTTGCTTCTTTGTTTCTCTTTCATTAGGTTTTTCCCAAATAGTGGTAAAAGATTCGTCTGAAATTATTATTGTACGAATGTGATACTCATAGTACCTCAATAACAATCATTATTGATGTAATCATATAACAATGTAATTGAAAATACGACAGCAACCTATTTAGATATCTGATTATTTCTAGAGAGTGAAATTTGTAGGATTTTAGCTGAAAAATATTGTTTGTATGCAGATGCAGGGTCACTGCCGGGGCAAATACAGGCGCCCGCGGTGTTCAAGTGTGTAAGAGTGGCGGCAGTGGAGGATGGTGAAGATGAGTATGCATATCAAGCGGTCGTTAGGATTGGTGGACTTGTGTGGCGGATGCACTAAGCCCCGTCAAGTGCATCCTCATTATTTTGGAAAAATGTTTAAATTTAACTTAATGTATTAAGGAAAAAAGAAAAAAAATACAATTTTTGAAAAAAAACTATTTTTAAAAAAATTAAAATTTTAGACCCCATTCTTAAATTATGAATCCGCCACTGATTCAAAGGGTTCCTTTATCATCAAGGATGAGAGGGTTGACCAAATCTGAATTGCATATGATATCGATGATGGTGGTGATGACGGCGGCCACTGCAGAAACACTGTGAAGCGGTAATAAAATAAATTGAGATCATCTTTCCTAATAAAAAAAAGTTGATTGATCAACTTGGGGAGCCATTATGGTCTAAATGGATTTTTTTACTTCATACTAATTATTCATATGGTTTTGGTAAATTGGTCTTTTGAACGCACTCCATATCCTATTATTACATATGTGTTTTTTCTTTTGGCTTCAATTGTATCCTTTTTATTTTTATTTTCCTTATTATATTTTCATTACAAATTATTGTATCTCTTTCGAGCTTTCGATAATGTATATTTTTCTTTTTGTACTTTAGATTTTTGAGCTATGACAATTTTTTGGAAGATACGATCTTTCGACATAAATTCTAGATTTACTTGATTTATCATAGTTAAATAGCAACACCTATTGCGTCATTTTTAAGATAAACGCCGCTAAATAGCAACACCTATTGCGGCGTTTTTTCAACAAACGCCGCTATATATCGTCACCTATTGCGGCGTTTTCGTTAACAAACGCCGTGAACTTTAGCGACGCTATTTTCAGCGGCGCTTTTTTGCGGCGTTTGTCAAACGCCGCATGTTTTTAGCGCGCTTAAAAACGCTGCTATATGTAAAAATAACGCCGTAAAAAGCCAGTTTTGCTGTAGTGAATCT